TTCTGTGTGTGTGTGTCTCTCTCTGCCCCTTCCCTGCTTGTGTTCTCTATCTGTCTAAAAAATAAATAAATGTTTTTAAAAAAAAGAAGAACATGGAGGTGGTTTGGAACGATGTGTCTAGAAGCCAGGGGATACCAATGGTTCCCAGCAAGAACCAGAAGCTAAGAGAAAGGCAGGGGAATGACCCAAATGCCAGCGTTGCCAACTTGATGGCCCGCGCCCCTGAGACCCACCGACATTACAGATAAGTGCTCCTTTTGCTCTTATCTGGTCTTTTCTTCACACCCCCTTGCTCTATGATCTGGGTACAAACCCATGGGGGCTGGTCCAGGGTGACACCTTATGCACAGTGACCTGTGGAAGCCAGGACACCTCACCCCCTGAGCTTTCTGGTTACTCCAGAGCCAACATGGGATTCTGTCGTCTCTTGGGATGAGCTAGCTCTCTCCCCCTCAGCAGCCTCAGCTGTGTTCCAGGGCTAATGTGGAAAATTACGAGTTGGACTGGGCTTTTCACATCGCGTGTTACTAATTAGAAATGAATTTCTCCTCTGCGTAAGCGTATACCCAGAACAGCTATTACCCCACACGGAAAGCTGATGCTCGGGACAGACCAGGAATCAAACTCCGCACGAGAGTGCATAAGAACTTCAGGCCAGCTCAGGCTTCCTGTGCGCGGACCTCTCTGCTCCTCCTCGCCGCCGGGCCCTCACCTGGAGCCTGAAGTTCTGCAGAAAGGAGGGTACAGAAAAAGCCAGTAGCGTGGGCCCCTCGGCCAGGGCACTCACATATTTCTCCCCTGGCCACTGGGCACTTTGCCTTGTGGTCTCGGCTTGCGTGGGGCCCATGGCACCCCTGGGAGGGCGAGGGCCGACAGTGGTTACACAGACAGGGCTGACTTCAGGATGAGGCTCAAGGTTGGCAAAGCTGGGCTCTTTCTGATGGTCCTCTTAACAAAGATATTTGAGGGTCTTCACTCAGCTCGCCGCAGAGGACGATTACGGTGGGATGGGGTGGGGTGGGGTGGGGGTGGAGAGGGACAGAAAGGGGAAGCCAGCTTTGCCAACTGGGCTGGGGTCCAGAGCAGGCTGAGCGGTTCGGGGACAGGCAGGTCCAGGATCATTTCCAAACGAAATCATGGGGCGCCTGGGTGGCTTAGTCGGTGAAGCGTCCGACTTTCGCTTAGGTCATGATCTCGAGGTTCGTGGGTTCGAGCCCCGTGTCGGGCTCTGTGCTGACTGCCAGCTCAGAGCCTGGAGCCTGTTTCAGAGTCTGTCACTCCCTCTCTCTCTGACCCTCCTCTGCTCACGCTGTCTCTCTCTCTCTCTCTCCTAGAAATAAATAAAACATTAAAAAAAAATTAAAACCAAACGACATCAGCTAAACATTGCTTTACAGACCTTAGCAAATGTAAGGTAACGCCGGGGGCCTCCTTGATGGGAATGCTGTGACGAGGGGAGGTCCCCAGCAGCGGCGGCACCATGGCCTTTTCCACAGAGTGTTCTGGGTGATCCCCCTCAGATAGAAAATTCCACCTACTAAGCTTAGGACAAAGGCTGGGGCTAGGAAATTGACGATGACGTCATGACGATGGTAAGCTTTCATACGATTCCTCCTGTGTTTCTCTGATCTTTTCTCTTGTTCTGATTGTCTTCCCCCAAAGACGCTGGCTACCCAGAGAGAAAAGCTGCGATTGAATAACAAACACTCCCTTGTGCCAAAAAAAAAAAAAAAAAAAAAAGCATGCACATGTCTCCGGCAAAACCTGTTTGCTGTTTACATTTGTGAAGTATCCTGTCATTCTGGAACAGCTTTTTTCCTTTTTTTTTAATTAAAAAAATTGTTTAATGTTTATTTAGTTTTGAGAGAGAGAGAGAGACAGAGTGCAAGTCGGGGAGGGGCAGAGAGAGAGGGAGACACAGAATCTGAAGCAGGCTCCAGGAACTGAGCTGTCAGCACAGAGCCCCATATGGGGGCTCGAACTCACAGACCGTGAGATCATGACCTGAACCAATGTCAGAAGCCACCCAGGTGCCTCTAAATTTTTTTACAAGTTTATTTATTTATCCTGAAAGAGACAGAGACACCATGAGTGGGGGGAGGGGCAGAGAGCGAGGGAGACGGAGAATCCCAAGCAGCTCTGCACTGTCAGCGCAGAGCCCGATGCGGGGCTGGAACTCAGGAACCACGAGGTCATGACCTGAGCTGGAGTCAGATGCTTAACCGACTGAGCCACCCAGGCGCCCCTGGAACAGCTGTTTTCAGAAACATTTCTCCTCAGCTTCTTTCTACTCGAATTTTCTGTTTGCTCTTTCAAATGGCAGAGTGGGGGGTGGGGGCCATGGTGGAGTTGGGGAGAAGGAATGAAAGGAGAAAACATAACCCCCTACAGGGATGCTTCTGGCAAAATGATCTTCACTGTCATGATCTGTCTTTCAGGGACTAAAGTCACCAGTTTGTACAAACGCAGATTTTGCTTCCCCCACTCTTACTGTGAAGAGTGATTTAAGGGGGAGCGATCCCTTGCTGTGGTTCCAAACAATGACCTTTGGCTTAAACCTGCCACCGAGCTGGGACTCTTAACCATCCACCTCCCTTGCTGGCTCCTGGGCCCTGGGAAGGGGTGCTCTCCCCATGTGTCTGGTTCTTCTGGTAAGGCCCGCTTAGGCTGGCCACACTCTCCTTTTTCTGACAGTCCCCATAACAAGGACCTTGGGTTAGAGGACATCTGAAGACCCCCATCCACACCAGGACTTCTAAAGCTCCCTTAGCCGGAGGCCTGGGATGGTTCCGAGGCTCTTTGCCTTCTTCTCCCTCGGGGTCAGGGACTGAAGACTGCGCTGTCCCTTTCTTTTTGTTGAAGTCCTGTGTCTCCCAGGGAGTGAGATCCATCCCAGGGTCCTGGCCACAGTTTTCCAAGGGGACCCGAGGATTCTCATGCAAATGAGACTCACTGGGGCGTCTGGGGAGGTCAGCTGTGGAGCAGCCCAGTTTCTCGTGCCAGGCTTGGGGATGGAGCAGGGGAGAGTCTGTATGGAGCACTGCACGATCGCAGCCACAAATGCCTGGGGACTCACAGTTACGCAGCAACCCGCCAATCAGAGCAGTTGCACGGTGCGCATGAAGAACTGGGAAAGACTTTCCGGAAAGACTTTCCACTGCCTTCAAAAGGCCGGTGAAGAAATAACCAATGCATTTCTCTGTACAGATCTTCACAGCTCTTGCCTCTGGGCGGTGATGTGACACCTGATTGCTCACGACAAGGGGCAGTTAGAAGTGGCAAAAGAGCCGGGTCTTAATGTTACACCCTGTCCGGGAGAGACCAATAATTGCAGACACCTGGTTGGATTCACATGCGAGAATGAAAACCTCTCCTGAATCCAAGCTTCCTACTTTTTAAATTTTATCTAACAGTGTTCTTGATCCAAAGCGACAGAAAAGGGCAAGTGTACAGCTAACAACCCCAAGGCCTAAATTCACACCAACTGGGTTCCGTGCTACAGGAGCTGCCAAGGCCAATGTGGTAGTAGTAAAACTCTGACTCCAAGCCATAGAGGATGGGGTTTCGGGGTAAAATGCAAAGGTCATAAAAATGAGGTTCGAGGGGCGCCTGGGTGGCTCAGTCGGCTGAGCATCCGACTCTTGATTTCGGCTCAGGTCGTGATCCCAGGGTTGTGAAATGGAGCCCCGAGTCGGGCTCCGTGCTGGATGTGGAGCCTGCTTGAGATTCTCTCTCTCCTTCTCCCTGTGCCAATCCCCTGCTCAGTGAGCATGAGGGCTCTCCTCCTCCCCCCCTCCCCAAATCTCTCTCTCTAACAAAAAAACAACAAAAATGAACCTCGAGATGATTAGGGGAAACATGGATATTCACACTGACGTAAATACCACATATTGCTAAATAATATTTATGAATAAAATAAATGGTATACGGTAAGTATTATATATTTATCACATTATTAAATAATACTAAATATATATTATATATGTGTGTGCACCTGCTTCTCCAAATTTCTTCTTTTTTGCTAATAACCCTCCAGCTAGGTTGCTGAAATCAGGTGTCAAGGTTATTGTAATATATTAGCAGTCACCTTGGAAGTCAGATCACAGAACAGACCCCCAGACTGGGCTGTTCCCTGGGCCGAGGGTTTCCTTTTCCCCAGATCATGTGGGTCCGAGCAGCCGCAGACACTCCCGGACACTCCGGAGGCCGGCAGGCGCGTCCCTGCCCCGCAGGGGGCCAGGGCTGCAGGAAGGCCTGGGGGTGATGGAGGGGTAGGGGTGGCAGCAAGGGCGGGGGCGGGGGGGCAGGGGTAAAGGGAAATGAAGAAGAAGAAGGCAGACCCTGCACTCCTAGGAGCACCTGTGGAGTGGCCCTGAGCTTCTCCACCCCCGCCTGGCCCGAAGCCGGCGAGGAGCGGCTGCCGGGGCTGAGCCCGGGGGCTGGAGCCCGCGGCGGTCCCTCGGGCGCGTCCGCACCGCCCTCGCGGAGGGCGCCCCCTGGAGCCGGGCCGGAGGCGGCGTCGGCGGCGGGCGAGCGCAGGTGTACGCGGGCTCGGCCCCCGGAGGGCAGGGGCGAGACGCGCGCGGCTTCGGGACGCCCGCGGGAGGCGCCCCCGGGTTGTGTCGGGTCGCATTTCTTTGTCCCCGCTGGGGGAGCCTCGGGACCCGCGGCGGCGCTGGCGGCCGCGGAGGAGGGAGCCGCGGGGGCCGCGACCGCCGGGGCGCAGCGCCATCATGACGCCGGGCCTGCCCGCGGCGGGCTCGGGGCTCTGCGGCCCGGCCCCGCCGCGCACGCACGCAAACCCCGCAGCACAAAGCCGAGCCGGGTCGGAAGCGGGTTAGGGGATTATATAAGCCGCGGGCGGGAGGCGAGATGGTCTTTTCGGCGTGTTCCTCCCGCCGCGGCGGCGGCGGCGGCGGCGGCGGCTCGCGAGGCTCGGGCTGACGGGGGCCTGGCGCGAGCCCACGGCTGACGACAGCGGCTTCGCCCGCTCGGTTTCCATGGCGACGCGCGGGCGCGGCGGCGGCGGCGGCGGGGCTGTCAGCGAGCGCGGCGGCGGCGGCGGCGGCGGGGATCGCGCGTCCGCGGGGGTCTGCGGGAGGAAGGCGGAGGCCGGGGCCGGGGCCCTCGCGGCAGACATGGACTCGCCCTGCGACTGTGCCGCCGAGACGCCGGCCGCCGAGCAGCCGTCGGGGAAGATCAATAAGGCCGCTTTCAAATTATTCAAGAAGAGGAAATCGGGTGGCACCATGCCCAGCATTTTTGGGGTCAAACACAAAGGGGACGGGAAAGGCTCGGGTCCGACGGGGATGGTGAGGAGCAGGACCCACGACGGCCTGGCCGAGGTGCTGGTGCTGGAGGGCGGCAAGAAGGAGGAGCCGCGCGGCGGCGGCGGCGGCGGCGGCGGCGGGGTCCGGCCGAGCCCGGGCGCCCCCAGGGCGGGGGGCTCCGCGGCCCCCAGCGCGGTGGCCAAGTCCCACAGCTTCTTCTCGCTGCTGAAGAAGAACGGGCGGCCGGAGGGCGGCGGCGGCGGCGGCCGGGGCGAGCCGGCGGACGCGAGCAAGGCCGGCGGCAAACAAAAGAGGGGGCTGAAGGGGCTCTTCAGCAGCATGCGCTGGCACAGGAAGGACAAGCGGGCCAAGGCGGAGGCCAAGGGCGAGCGCGCGGGGGCGCCGGGCGGCCGCGTCCCGCCGGGCTCGCTCACCGCCAGCCTGGAGTGCGTCAAGGAGGAGACGGCCGCGCCCGCGCGCCAGCCGGAGCAGCCGAGCGGGGACGCGCCGCCGGAGCCAGCAGGTGAGCCCGGAGGGGGGCGGCCGGGGCCGGCGCCCGACCGCCGCCGAGACGCCGCCAGCCCCGCGGCCCCTAAGGCCGAGGGCGCGCGGGCCCAGGACGCCGCGGGGCAGCGGCGCGCCGAGAAGCCCCGGGCAGCGGCGGAGCCGGGCGCGCGCGAGGCGCCGACGGCCGACGACGCCTGCAGGACCGGGGACGCTCCGGGGCAGCCCGTCCCGCCCGTCGACCCGGAGCGCGGCGGCGGCGGCGGCGGCGGCGGCCGAGCGGCGGCCGCGCCCGACCCCTCCTCGGCCGACCCGCCCTCAGACCCGTCGGCCGATCGTATTTGTTTGATGTTTTCTGACGTGACTTCACTGAAAAGCTTTGACTCTCTTACAGGCTGTGGAGATATTATTGCAGACCCGGAGGACGAGGCAGGTCCCAGCTGTGACAAGCACGCCCCCGGGCCGGGCCGCCAGAAGCCCGGCGGCGTGCTGGCCTACCAAGGCGGCGGGGAGGAGATGGCGAGCCCGGAGGGGCTGGACGACACGTGCCTCCAGGAATTCTGGGACATGCTGTCCCGGGCCGAGGACCCGGCCCCGGGGCCCCCGGCGGCCGCGGCCCCGGGCCCGCAGGCGGCGCCGGAGACGGCCGCGGACGCGCCCTCGGGCAAGCCCCGGAGGCTGCCCCGCAGCCCCGCCGAGCCCCGCCCCGGCGAGGAGCCCGAGGCCGTCGCCGGCCGCGACGACAGCCGCCGCGGCGCCGCCACGCCGGGCCCCGAGGACGCGAGCGGCGCCGAGCAGGCGGCCGTCCCGCGGGACGCGCCCGGCGGCGACGCGCCCTGCGACCCGGACGCCGAGCCCGACGCGGCCGCCCCGGCGGCCGCCCCCGCCGGCGAGGAGGCGTCCTGCCCGTCGCGGCTGAAGCCCGTGTCCCCGGGCGCCATCACCTGCCCGCTGCGAACCCCGGGCAGCCTGCTGAGGGACTCGAAGATCCCCATCAGCATCAAGCACCTGGCGAACCTTCCGTCCAGCCATCCCGCGGCGCCCCAGCCGCCAGTCCGGAGTGAGATGCCCAGAACAAAAATCCCCGTGTCCAAAGTGCTGGTCCGCCGGGTCAGCAGCAGGGCCCTGGCTGGCACCGCCATGCGGGCCGCCGCGTGCCACGACGGGGCCAAAAAGTTGTGAGGTCCCCGAAGCCGACGTGGGCGGGCTCTCCCCGGAAACCGCTAACAGAAGTTTCGCTTCCCGAGAAGAAAGGCTCTGATAAGGCCCGTCCCTGCGCCGCAGCCTGGACCGAGGAGGCCTCTGCGTGGCAAGCAGAGGCAGGAGACGCCGTGGAGGGGGTGCTACGCGGGGGGGATTGCCCCTCCAGATAAGTTCCCTGCGAATTGTTTTCAAGCACTTTTAATTTTTTTTTTTTTACACCTTTAAAGAAAATCTTTGTTTTTCCTTTTTGTTTTTTGTTTTTTGTTTTTGCTTTGATGCGCTGAACACTTGGAAGTCACCTTTACTTGCCTTTGCAGAAAACAGGACTTAACCAAACCTAAGTAGGCATCGTGCCACGATATGTGGCCGTGCCAGGCTCCACAGAGGGCCGGGAGAGCCACTGCCAAGGCCAGAGGAGCCCTTCCTCTCCCAAGACACCTTCTTTCCTTCCTTCTTTTTCTTTCCAGGGAAAAAATGGAGCTTGAAAGAAAAAGAAAGAAAAGAAAAAAAGACCCTTTGCTGTATCACTGTGTGGGAAGTACTCTCAAAGCTCAAAGAGCCAGGTATTTACCTGAGGGGCAGAGGGGACCGTTGATTGGCAGCACATTTGCCTACTTTCGGTTGCTGGGTATGCAAATAGGGCACTGTCTGTCACTAGGACCATAAAGGAGCAGTTTGGTTTGGTTGGCTTAGATCATTTGTTTGGGGAGAAATAAAAAGCTCAGCAGAGCGGGTGTTTTTCTTTCTTTCTTTTTTTTCTTTTTCTTTCCCACCCAGTGAAGAAATTAGGATCAGGGAAAGATTTCACTAAAACGCCAATAGACACAGTATGTTAGCATTTATAACCTGTAACCTTTTCATGTGTACATAATGCATATTTTACAGTTTATCCAGCTGTTAACGTTTTATAATCTGTCAGTAACCTCGAATTTAAAATCTGGTTTTATAACTAGTTACGACTACTGTCCCTGAACTATTGCTGTTCTTTTGTGTTCTGAAACCTAAAGCGATCCTGTTTTTGTTTTATATGGGTTCTCTAGCTCTCAATGCAGGAAAGCAAAAACAAAGTCTATTGTGTTGACATCCCACAGGAATGGTTCTGTCTTGTCTTGGGTAAGAGCCTATTTGCTTCTCACCCCCTAATCCTGGTTTTCAGAGATTTTTTTACCTTGGTTATAAAAATTTTGGGTTCCACCATTCTATAATGTGGGGAGTCCCACATGAGGACCATATACAGACAAACAATAGAAAATTCCAGTGTTTCATGGTAGTTGACTTTTGCTTTCTGGACTTACGATCGACACAGGTACGTTCAAAATATGACACTGGCAAGCGTTATGTGTCATAAACACCATGCCAAGATTTGTTTTTTTTTTTGAAAAGTGGCTTCCTGATATGTTGTTTTCTATTATTTTAGATGAAGCATTTATTTCAGAACGGGTTACCATATGCCTGGATAGTTTGAGTGATTAACTGAAGCAGTTCCTAGAATGCTATTAGCCTCTAATGATTATATAATACCTCTCTGAAATGCACTTCAGTGTGTTTAATCAAAAGATCAGAGCTCCTACTAGGAGTTGATTCATGGTATCAGGAAGATGAGATATTTTCAAGCAAAACTACATGTATATGACTGGCATAACCGCTTCTATATAGCTCCCATCTTCCAGAGAGATTGCCTAAGTAATGAACTGATAGCACGTGTTTTTGAAGCTTGTGTTGTTTCATAGAGGAAAGAAAGAGGCAAGTTAAGTATATGGAAACCTATTTTCACTGTACAGAAGGAACCAAATAAACAGACATCAAAGGAAAGCAAATTTGAGCCAGTAGCATAAAGCAGATTCTTCTCCATTTTAAGTTCGCAATGGTTCAATTAGAAGAGGTGGTAGAGATTTGTTGAATTTCTTTATTCGTCAGATTGCTGGCTCTTACTGCATTGTGTCAGGTCCTTAATGTATTTCAAAGCACTGCTTTAATATTGAATTTCCTTATATAGATGAGGTCCTATAATCAGACATAGCCTTAAGCACGCTGAACTCACCACCAGGGATTCGTAAAGCCACTCACACGCACACGTGCTGATGCACTCAACTGTGCGCAGACTAACAGACAAAGGCATCTACTGTACACTTGGAAATATTTTACAATTCTGCCTTGAGAAAGGGATTTAAATTTGATTTCACACCGATAGCACTAGTTAGACTCCAGATGCATTCATTTCCCCCTCGTGAATGTCAAGAACACAAATTTCATTCCTAGCTGTAAAACAAAGGATCTTGATCTTCTTCTTGTGCATCTTCTTGTGAGGGTTACATTCTCCTCTGTGTGAACCCACGACAAAGTTCTCTTTGCTCATTTGTTCAGCTGTACAGGAAAGTTCAGTGTACCTGAAGTACTGGTGAGAATATTGTAACAGAAAAGACAGTCTATCGAGAAATCTATTCTATAAGCCCTGGACAAACTATTTTTGCTTTCACAGTTTTGGGACTTATTTCTGCAATTTTACCACGATGCCTTGTCTCCTTTTGTAAGGAAAGGCAAGCGCCAGCAAAGCGTACCTTCGTTTCCTCTTGCCTGTCAATTAACCAGTTATGCAAGATGTGAAATATGTCTCCTTTGTATTCTTTTTTCCATATGTTTTCCATTAAAAAAAAAACAACACCTCTATATATTTAAGAATTCCACCCATGCCAGTCAAAATGAAGGATGCAGGCAATTAATTAAATGGCCTCAGCAGCCTGATAGGAAATCAAGGCTCAATGCAGGAAGCCTGGATCATAACCTCTTCCACTCCTAGAAAAGGAATCATAGTTGCTTTTTTTGTGTGTGCCGAGGGCTACTTTCATTCATGCTCCTGGAGATCGGAGAGGTTTGGCTTTTTTTTTAAAAAAGCATTTTAATAGATTTATATTCCAATTATTGTGCATTTCCTAAACTGGCCATATTTGCTGATTTTGTTTTAAATGGGAAGGATTCAATGTGGGCTGGTGATACCTTTGCTATGTGTGTATGATTCTTAGATGCTTGGTTGATTAAGTCTGTTTAGTCAGACAGCTGAACAAATTAGGAGAATTAGAGAGGAGAAAGTCAAATCAATTGTTGGCCCTGAATTTATCAGTGAATGTAATAGCTCTGCACAAAGACAGCCTGACTTCAATACCTACATTCTACAGACGGTGTTACTTGAACTACTCTGGCGTCCATACTAATGGCAGTTGGATGCTCTGATTCTTCCACTAGCCCTGACTGGGAGAAATTTCACTCTAGCATTTCCGATAATCGCCAAGAGGACATAGAGTTTTACTGTTTCACCTAATAACAGCAATGACATATAGGACATTCAGGACTTTCTTTAATACGTTTTCCACAAATTATCTTCCTCTTTAAATACAAAATGTTTAATGCCCATGAACGTGATGATCTACTGAGTTTAAAGGGTTTCTTCGTTAATCTCAGAAGTAGCTGCGAAGTGTTTGCACTTAAATGAATAATATTCAAATTGCCCTTTGCTTACACAGTTACCAAGGTAAAAAGGCTATCTTAGGTATCAAGATTTCTTCTACTGATCTGAGTTTTCATTATTTACATCTTTGTCGGATTAGTTTTCCGAGGCTCTTTACCGTTGACTTTGTGCACAGAGATTGATTAAAGTAGCTTTCTTTCCCCTCTCCGTAGCCACCATGTTTGCTTGGTGCCCTCAGATGGCAGTAAGGGGACACTTCTCGTGAGGTGGCGTGTTTTGACACTTGCATGGCAGAACACATTTCCTGATGGTAGTCATTCCGGATTTCTCTCCTGAATGATGACAATCTGGCCTTGGTCCCCTGTGCTCCGTTTCTGCTGAGGCGTGTTCCAATATATTTGCATGTACTTTGCGATCCTTCTCCTTCTTAAGAAACTAATTAAAGAGTTTTAAACTCTCACACATAAGGAGAAGCCATCACAGTTGCCTCTTCTCACCACTGGCCATGGCCAGTTAAAAGTACCTGAATCAAATAAGAAGAGAAACCCACATACCTCGGCCCTCCCCATCTTCTTCCCTCTTCTCCGGGCAGACCACGGGGTGAACGACACCCTTCTTGTTTGTGGAAACTGGGTCTCAGGAATTTTTGATTCCCTGCACATAAACATTCATGACAGTTTGGGACCACAAGCTAGCATGGCCGACCGGTGGCTTATATATCTGTGTGGGAAAGCAGGAGGCAAGCATTTGCCTCATAAAAAGACGTGCGTGTCACGTTGGCAGGTGGGAAGTGTGGTCAGTCACGCGTCTGGCCCTGAGCATTTTCTGATGGCTGTCGTAAGTTGCTTCTCAAAGCCTTTGCGCTGTGCTGCTGATGTAGACAGTTTGTTGCAAAAATGTCACTTATAAGGAACCTTATTCACTCCCTGCAGGTAATGCTTTTGAGGAGTGATTCAGCATGATAGTTTCGTGATTATGGAAAGGAGGCCCTTCTCAAACTGGAAAAGGAAAGGTTAAAATAGTCACGAAGCCTCCAGAACTGAAACTGGACACATTTTACGACCTAGAATTACTTACATTCAGTGCAACTTGTATTCAGCGGTCATATACTGTATCTGACGCTTCATAAAACTCCCTTCAGTTTGGAGTTCACACATGGCTGTACTGTGACTGGACTCTCTTAATAGTCATTAAAAACATCCTTATTTTATTTTACCTACTTTTTTTCTTTTTTTGCATTTGTTGCTTATGGTTTGTGGGGTGGAACAGAATGCGGTGAACTTGAACAAGAGTGGTATGGATTAAGCCACACAAATTCCTCTCAAAATAATAATAGTAATTACAACAATGATGAACATTTGTCGAGTCCTTGTTAAGTGCCAGGAATCACTTGGAACTTTGTAGATACTTACTCGGTCCTCTTAGCGGCCACGAGGGCTGGGCAGTATTACTTCTCTAATGTGCCATCTTTCATTCATGCTTTTTGTTTGCACCCCATTCCAATGTTATCCCTTCCCCTTCCCTTCTTCCTCTCTCTCTTCTCCCCTAGTCTCTGGGAGAGGAATATAAAGTCTTCTGTAACTTAGGGTAACACAAGAGCTAAAAAGTACTTAATGCCACGACCAGCTCACTTCTAATAGAAAAAGAGCTAACCCAAGCCATCAAGCTGGAAATTGGTTTCGCGTCCGAGACGATGGTGCTCACATCGCTGACGGAGGAACCAGGCACTGTTGTACAGTTAATAGGCAAACACTCTGCTCTTTTTTTGACAGTATCCTCTCTTTCTCGGGACGAACATCAAAAATATAGACAGAAATCTCTTCTGTTGTCATGGTAACACTTCTTCCCTGTAGGGTTTCGGTCATTCCAAGCACGCTGCACTTGGTTTTCCATCATAAACACAGCCTAGGCTCGCTCTGGGTGTTCCGTGTGGTTCATTTAAGTAGGAACTAGCTGAGCGATCCCTTGCCTTGATGCAATTCTGAACTTCAGAGACGAGCTCCTAGCTCTTTGTGAAGTAGGGCATCCTACGTTCCATCTACAGCCATTGAATTCTGGTGCGTATTTCCTGATTCATTGATCCATTCAACTACTATGTATTGAAGACCTCTCAGTCAGTCACCGTGAATTTGAGTGTTGTCTATTGAAGTGAAATAACTAACATATACCATGTGTTTTCTCTGTGCCGGGATGATGCTCTGTGCATTGTTATTGCCACTGTTCGTAGGAACTGTGCAGGGGGGATATTGGCTTCATCCAGCAGAGGAAGAAAATGATGCTCACAAAGGTGAAATGCTGTGTCCCAAGTCGCCCCTTTCATAAGTAATGGACAGAATTTGAACAAGAAACCTAACTCTATAGCTCATGCTTTAATTATACATCTTTTTTTTTTTTTTTTAGCCCTATGATTCCATTTTCACAGTAACTTGTTTTAAGTACAAAACTGATCACAGTTCTGAACTGTGAGAGCCAAACCAGATTTTTATAACAGTGGATACCATTAAACTGATGACTATTTTGACTCTTTGAGTTAAAAGCGAACTTGCTTTTTTGTTTTTGTTTTTGTTTTTAATTCTTTGGTGGCTTTTATACATGCAAGTCTCAAAGGTCTCAGAGCCTAACAGGTTTTTTTCTCACCTGGGCCAGTCAAAATTGTGGACTATATTCACCAGTTATTCTAGAGCCACACACAAGCAGGTCTGCATACAGATTTCGTAACCTGACGTCTGTGTTGTCAGTAACAAAACCAAAAACCATCTCAGTAGTGAATCCACTAGGTTGCAAGCTAAGTTTCCTTCCACTCTGATTCTGTTCATACTCTCGTATTTAGGGGCAACCCATTAGAAATTGTAACATGGTCA